AGCACCCCGGGGTTCAATCCCCAGTCCAAAACATAAAACAACAACAAAAACCCTGATCACTGGAAAAAGCACCATCAATGGTGGTGGGGTGGAGGGTAGAGGCTAGAAGACAACCAATAGGTAATTTCCTAGTCAAAGTAGTGATTGTCTACATGATCACATTTATTATTCATAGAATACTATATCAAGTACTATGATGAGTTTTGAAAAAACAGTAAAAGATATCTGTTTTCACAAAATAAAAAATAAAAAGTTATCACATCATTCTAGACAGAGAACATCACTATATAACAACTGAACACTCACCCAAATGACAAATCAACAAATACAAGTATTATACAAACTGGAAGCAGAAAGGTTGAAGGCAAAATAGAGATACGAATAAAAGGGGTTCTGGATTCTCACTGCCGTACCTTCAATAAAAAGCTGTGGTCCAGATTAGGGGCTGGGGTTATAGCTCAGTAGTGGAGCCCTTGCCTAGCACATTTGAGGCACTGGTTTTGATCCTAAGACCACATACAAATAAATAAATAAAATTATTGTGCCCATCTACAATTAAAAAGAATATTTTTAAAAAGATTACATAAAACCATAAATATGAAAACATTCTGGAGAAACCTATTTATTGATCTAAAATAAATACAAAGCATGAGCAAAACCACAGTAAAGTCCAATAGTTCAGTAGCTTTTATTCAACATGTCAGTACTAATAGGTCTAAATCTTCAAGAAGCTGATCAATATGTATTATATAAAAGAAATCAGTTTATCTTCCAAAGTGGTGGGAGTCATCACTTGTTATCCTGAATGAGGGGATTAAAAATAGGCAAACCTCTACTATGTATTCTCAATTTTACTTGCCTACTCAAGACTCTGTTCTAAAAATCAGAGTAAAGAAAACTGACCACCTGGCACTGAATGATAGCTGAGCCTTAATTATGATAGTACAGCAAAATCTAATAAGAATTATATCAACATGCCTAAAACTCCAGAATCTAACAAGCACTATCCCCTTCAGGAAAGCAGCTGATCAGCCATAGGGGGCAGCAAAGTTAAGAAAGTGAACGTAAATACCAGGGGGTGAAGTGAGGGCAGGAAATGTTAATAGGCTGGGTAATGAGCCATGAGTATCAGAGAAAAAAGGACAAAGTCTCAATTAATGAATTAAATCAATAGGACAGATAATGCTAAGCCAGTGATTCTCAACACTGACTACACATTAGAATCACCCTGGGAGCTTTTAGAAATACACAAGCATGGATTTTACCTTGAACCAATTAATTTAGAATCTTCTGTGAGGGGGACCCAGATATTGATATTTTTTTAAAGCTCTCCAAGTGTATAACTAGAACTAAGCACTGCAGTGCTAAACACATAAAAATAGAAATAAACTCATCTCATTCCCCAGCTGTTTACAATTTTAAAGGCTAAATTGAAAATACAAAGCATAAAAATTTACTTTTTCCCAAATCTATTATTTTTGTTGATAAACTTGTTTTTGAAATCCAAAGGGGGTAATAACTCATTAAAGACTAATTCATCTATGATTTTTATCAAGGGAAAAATGTTATTCTTACAGGTGAAAATAATTAAACTAGAGTTCAAAGGGGTTAAACAACTTGCCCAAAGCAATTGTGAATCATCACTGATGTAGAAGACGACTTAAATCTACTCTTCATAGGACAGGGCTCTTCCCCAATGGTCATCAGTTTGCCGAATACATTTTCCTGGATTATCACTTTATTCACTTCATAAAATAATCCAAAATTAAATTAATAATCAAAGAAGATAATAAAATGGGGAAGAGGATATAATCCTGAATAGAATTCTGAAGATGTTAGACTTAAAAAGCTTTTCCTCCATGTGGCTAGATGAAATGATATTAACTTTGTGAACATCTATAAACCTTAAAAGTTAGTTGAGTAGCAGTATTACCCACATCCCCCCACACACCAAAGTTAAGATAGTTATGAAACTTCAGCTGACAGTGTTCTTGTCTCAATTAACTCAGAAGACCATATACCTCAACACACACACACACACACACATACACACACACTTTTCCCCTAATGCTAAGCCAGCCACTTCAATCAGTGGTACTGTTACTGGCCTCAATACTTCCAGTGGGACCCAGTTTCTAAGAATGGACCAACAAAGAATTTTAGTGATACTTGGGAAGTTCTTGACCTCATCTGAAGGGGACTTAAATCTCAAAACCAATTTCTTCTTTTCTTTCCTATTTACTGGCAGTATCCTATGAGAAATTAATATCTATAAAATTCATGAGAAATGAATATCTATAAAATAACTGAATTTATTTGGTTGGTTAAAATAAAATTACCACAGCTTTTGATATTTTGAAGAGTTTGATTTAACCCTATTTTCATTTTTACATGCATGCTGAAAATGTTACAGTCTCATCTCACTTCACATAAATCACAATTAGGAAAGTTTACGATTTAAATAATCCTATTAATTCTTCATTTAAAAATATTTTTAATCTAGATTTTCAAATATCAAAGAAAGTGGGAACTAACATTCTTTGCCTATTTTTAGGTATTTAAATTATTTCACTAAATCCCTTCAATCCTGGGAGACAGGAGGCATTATCCCCATTTTACAGATAAGAAAAACAACTCAGAAAAATTAAAAATTTATCTTTGACTCAGAACTAACCTTAGTCACTATCTATCATACTGCTTTAATTTACGTAAAACAGATTAGTAGCAAAAATACTGAAATCATTTGACCTGAGTCCCAATATCAGTTGCAACACCATCCAGATAAATAATCACAGGTCTGAAACTAATCTGTTTAAGCTTCAACTTTCTCATCAACAAAACAGATATACTATTGATTTTGCAAGAAGTTAATAGAATGTCCTAATGAAATAACAATATTTGTAAAAATACATTGAGCCATGGGCTATCACACAACAGTATTTCCTTCTGGTGTGAAAAAGCAGATATCAGAAATTAAGAATTAGATACCTTTGGATTGTTCTACTTGTCATGAGCAAGACTAACTTTTGATTAAAAATAAAGAAAAACATAAAATGATTTGAAAATGCTAAATTGTCATAAATGTAAGGCATCAACTACTTTATCAAACTAATCCTTCCAGTAACTTTAAACAAAATAGGTTAAACAGACTGAAAAACCACCTGTGAGTAACATGTTCTTTAAAGTTTCCTAATTGTTGGTTACCAGATGAAAAGTTTAAGGTGGAAAAATTAGGCCCACTACCAATATAAAATATATTTCTATATTTTAAATATAGAAAAAAAATTGATAAATGTTCCTAATTTTATTTTTAGCATCTCTCAGATGAGCTTACATAATTAACAAGAGATAAAGTGTTTTGAAAAAATAATTAGTTTTATAATATATGGCTGTTTAATTTTCAGGACCCACACAACAGTTTCTTAGTTTTAAAAAGCCTTTTAACAAGACTTGTTTATTTAATACTTTCTATAACAAAACTATTTTGTATATTTTCACCATTAAATCCTGAAACCCACTTACTAAGTGATTATACAAATATAAACTTCTGGTAGATGAAAAGGTTGGATTATTTTGTTAATCCTTACTCGCAGTATGCTTTGAGGAAAACTCCTTGGCACCTTTCCAGTTTAGACCCACGTGGACAAAGTGTAACATAAGCAGGTTGTTATAAACACTTAAAAGATCTTGGATGCCCACGGATATCTGAATCATTCCACACTAAGATTATATTTCAGAGGAAGAAGAAAAATTCTCTTTCATACACATACTAAGTGGTTCTCCACTGTTTTTTGTTAAAGCCACAAATGGAAAAAACTACTACTGACAGAAAAACACACAATACTGTGGTATCAAATACACCGCCAAGCTACAAACTGAAACAACTGAATTTTTCAAAAAAGTCACTTTTCAAGCATTTGGCACCTGCAGCAAAAGTAGTTTTTCCTATTAGTAAGTAACCCAAGTAAGGTCTTATTTTCCTCAATTAAATCTGCATAAATTTACCTTGGGTAATTTTCCTATAAGGAATACTATATTTTCATGCAAATATCTAGAATTAATCTGAAATTCCAATTTTACTATTTTTTGCCCTATTATGACTAAACCCTATAAATAAAACATTTAAGGCACCTTCAACTTGTTGAATAAGACACTATATAACTCAGATGATTATTGAGTCTATGCATATTTTCCCCAGGCTTTTAAAAGTATACAATAAGGTGCATCTCCTGGCTGAAACAAATAATATTCAATTTATTTTTATTAGATAAAGTGGAATATTAACAAGTACAATACTAGGAACCAGAATATCTTACTAAAAGCAAGTTCAATAAATATGAAAGAAAAATGTTAGCAACAAACCTTCAAACTGCAAAGATAACTTGATTAATGAAAAAAATAAAAAGCATAAAAATACTATGATTTCTAATTAAGTGTAAAATGACAAATTAAAAAAAAATTTTAGTTGTAGATGGACACAATACCTTTATTATTTTATTTATTTATATGTGGTACTGAGGATGGAATCCAGGGCCTCAAACATGCTAGGGAAGTGCTCTACCACTAAGCCACCACCCCAGCCCATAAAACAGCAAATTTAATGCCCTCTTAGGTAAGATGGTATTCTTTTATAGCCATGACATTACTCAAGAATTAAAGTCTTAGCAATGTCTACCATTGTGGTCTACCATTGATTAATATATGTAAATTGCTAAAGAGCAATCAAATGTGATAGCACAGATATCTTAAACATTCTTCTCAAAAGTCAGTTTATTCTGGCTCTGAAATATCCTTGGTTTAGAAGCACCCCAAGAGGCAGGGTAATGTAGGGTCTGAATGGGGTTCCAAAGCTATTATAGGTCAGTTGTGATTTGATCTAGGGTTTTCTTTAGACTCCTTGCCAACTCAGGCTGGATTCATAGGCCCAAAGACAAATCAGAACCAGATTGGCCTTGCTGGATCTTTTTCAAATGGACTGAAAATCTGCTGAACATTTATCTATTTTAGTATGAACCTTCAATTTCCTGGTCTTGTAAAACAGATTATCTAGATTTCTATCGGGTATCTTTTGTTGCAATAATTTTTAAATGTCTAGAAGCATAATCATCTTGTTCCATAATATTTCTATCTCATAAAAAGCAAAGACATTAAAATGTCTTTTAAAATTAAAAGCCAGTAATTCTCAAAGAACAAGAAAGAACACCAGAAAACAACTTACTGAAAAACCTCTAAACCTAGTGGGAAAGTGTGCCAAAGGGAGTGCCAAGTACTCCTGCAAGGCATTAGGCATGGTTACCAACTTGAATTACTGTACAAACCTACAAAGTCCCTGGAATCACTGTCTAGTGAACTAAGTTCCCACTGCATTGCAAAGCAACACTATCTATTCCTTGATACTTCTCCAAACTGGTCGTGTGTATCCTCTTAGACGACAGAGTATTTCAGGGGATAATATTTAAACCGAGTGATACAGTTTTAAAAAATACTACACTGATCTGATTTTTAGTTTTTTACTTTATAAATATATCTAAAGACAGCTAATTCAACCGCTGGTTGCATTCAGATTCCTGGTCTAATGACTTAGGAATAATCAATGGGCAGGACAATTGATAAGAGGGTGGTGCGCACAGATTTATAATAGAAAAAGTAAAGGGCTAGCTAAGAGCGGCTGAAAAAAAAAAAAAAACAGGAGCTGAGACGGGAAAAGTGAGGGTCGAACGACAGGACAGGATGTTAAAGCAAGATAGGGAAAGGATAAGTCTCCGGGAAGAGTGAATAACTCTATCTTGCGGGACGCAAGAGTCCCAGTTGGAAGGGCAGGTTAAGCAAGCGCGCAGGTGGGAAGGGGTGTTGGCTTCCAAGATGGGAAGAGTTAAGGTGAATCAGGGAGAAGTAAGAAGCAAATGCCTTCGCATCAAACCTGTTGGAATAAAGGGCGAGGACGACGCCAAGGTATCTAAAGGAACACACACCGAGACCCCAGCAGGGTAGGAAAACCAAGCTCCAGAAGGAAATGGCTCAGCTGGCACAGAGGCGAGCGGAGCCAGCCCCTGCGCTCGCTCCCGGGGCTGCGCCCTCGGAGGTTACCTTTGAGTTGGGGCAAGGGGTGCAGCTCCGCCTGGCTACCCTGGCTGCGGAACTGCGACGAGCCCTGAGAGCGCTTCTGTCTCTGCGCCTTGCGCACCGATTTCCGGGTGAAGCCGTCCACTTTCTCCGAGGCCGAGATGGCGGCGCTGGCAGCCCCCGCCGGCGGCGACGACGACGACATCTCTGCGGCCCTGGCGCTTGGCAGCTCCGGCGGCTGCTTGCACCGCACAGGCAGCGGCAGCGACGGCAGGAGGAGGAGGCGGGGGAGAGGCGCGGAGAGCTCGCGCCCCTGCGCCCCGAGCTCCCGGCCACTCCGCCCTCCCGCTCCCGGGCACCGCCGAGCTTCTCCTCGCCGCCCGACAACGCCTCACGGCCACATCTCAGCGCCGGAGGTTCCTGGTCCCCGCGGCGCGGCGAACTCCCCGGGCTGACGGAGGGAAGGGCGGGGGTGGAGGGGGGTGAAGAAGTTGTTGACTCCGGGCGCGGAGGGCGGGTGGAGGGGAGCCTGAAGTTTAGACAACTGAGACGAGAGCGCGGGGTGGCGGACGCGGAGTGCGCCTCTCGTCCCTTTAGTCCTAGTCGCCAGCCGGCCAGCCGGCCAGCACCTCAGCGCCCGCTGCCAGAGCCGTCCGCCCTGCCTGGAGCCTCCTCCCGGGGCGCTGCCATCGCGGATCCTCTTGGAGCCGTCGTCGCGGTGCCTTCTCTTTCCTGTCAGCGCTGGCCCCTCATCGCCCGGGCGGTGACCCGCTGCCCCGACCCTCGGTGCACACACACTCGCCTCTGGCAGCGTCGCGCGGTGCGAACCCCCCTCCCCCAGGCGCCCGCCAGCCGCCCACGGAGAAACCCGGCGAGCGACCGCTACAACTTGAGAAGGTGGTTGGTACAGGCAAGGGAGAATGTGTGTGCGTGTGCGCGCACGCGAAGGCGCGCGGCCCGGGGGAAGGGCTTCGCGGGGGGGTGGGAAGGAGGAGTTTGACTGACAACTTCCGCGGGGTCCCGCCAGCCTCACGAGGCTCGGGAGCCGGTAGGGGGTGAGAGAGCATGCCAGCTCCATCAGCCAATCGCAGGGCTAAGCGGCAGAGACGGGGGAAGGCGTGGCCTCCTGGGCAATCTCTCAAGTGTCAGGAGCTGGGAGGGAAGGCAAAGAGGGGGGCGTGACGGGGTGACGGACTTCAGCTACAGCCAATCGCAAGTGAAGGCGGTGAGCGGAGTGCCATCTGCGTCACAACAGTGTAACAAATTCTCTCACGAGGGAGGGGAAGTGCCCCTCCACCAGCGGGCCTTGTACGCCTGCGCGCAGCTCCAGCCTATAATTGCTCTGCTGACAGACTTTGAGACCAGGCTAGAGGGTAGTTCGGGAGTCAAAATGGGTCGCTCCTTGCCTTCCCTCTCCTCTCTACTACCAATGAAGAACTGGAGCGACGGGTGGGGAGTTTCAGGGCAAGGGCGCGAAAGAGTGCCAGTTTTGCGTCACTGAAAAGGGGCGGAGCAAAGGTTTGGGTGGGCGCGCCAGAGGTGTGATTGACAGGCAAAGGGGTGTAAGCGAAATGAGTTTGTCCAATCCGAACGAGGTACTGGACTCCTGGGCGGGCTTTAGCTCTTCGCTGGCTCTAAACCACATAATTGGTAGTTGGGTAATAAATTTGTAGCTTTGGTGGTTTAGGCACCGCAAGTCCCTGCGAGGTACTCTTGCGTGGGGTTTGGGCGGTCTAGCATCTACTACTTCAAAGAGTTCTACAAGTCCATGACCTTCAAAGAGAGGTTCCTCATTCCCAACTCAGTAGCCCACTAATTTTCACTCCTTCAGCCAAAGGCCTCAAGACTCTGAAAGTACAAATTTTCTGCTCAGTGGTTTGTGGATTTGGGAGCTTACCGTTTACTCTTGGGGTCTCTTCCTTGGAGATTCCATCTAGATTTTAAATATCTTAAGGACAAGAATTGTCCGTCTTAGTTTTTTGTGCAGTGCTTTCCACATGATATTTAAACAAGTGAACTGAATAGTCTGTCTCCTTTTGTTCTGGTGCACCCAAATCTACAGTCTTCTTCTGCGAGCCCTAAATCGTTTCCTTTCGACATGATAAAAATAACTGCCATGTATTCAAGCAAAGTTACTTGCTACATAGGAACAGAAAATTCTGATTTGGGGTAGGAAGTAGACCTGTACTCAAAACATTTTCTCTTCAGACTCACTGGGTGGTGAAATTATACAGTTTTCCCAGTCAGGGAAGATTGGAAACCCCAGTAGCATCTAGAACACTTTTGTATTTCTTATCCTATCAAGCTCCAGATTGTGTGGAATCTGCCTTCACAAAAGTTCAACAACAGTCCTTTACAATTTGCGCAACCGACCACCAAACATAGTTGAGGGCTTTTAAAGTGACTGCCACTTTTATTTTATCTGCATGTGTGAAGAAATACCTAGAGAATACAGTCCAAACTCAAGGATCTCTTCAGTCTGACTCTTGACTGTATTCCTATTGCATGTATTATCCATATCATTCATAGGGTCAGACATCATTTTCTGTCTGAGATGGTTGTATGTTTGTTACCCCCCTGAAAGTTTGTAAATATCAAGAGAGCAAGAATTTACTTTTTGTCTCCATATTCTGAGCACAGGATAGATATACAGTATATAACAATCTAATTTTTAATCCTCAAAAACAGATTTCTGAACCTGTGGTTATTGGATCACCTTCATCAACATTCTCTGGGGTGTTTGTTTAAAATTCAGACTGCTGGATCTCATCCTTGAAAAAATAATCAGAGCATGTGGGAAAAGCTCTAAAAAAAAATTTTTTTGGGGGGGGTACCAGGAATTGAACCCAGGGGTGTTTTAACATTGAGCCATATCTCCAGCACTTTTGCAAGCACAAGTACACATTAATTTTGAATTTGTTTGTTTCTGGGGATTGAACCCAGGGGTGCTTTTCAACTGAGTCACATCCCCAACTGTTTATTTTGGGGTCTCACTAAGTTGCTTAGGGCCTTGCTAAGTTGTGGAGGCAAGTCTCAAACTTGTGATCTTTCTGCCTCAGCTTCCTGAGTTGCTGAGATTGCAAGCATGCACCACCTTGCCCAGCACTTGTGTACATTGAGATGATTAGAAATCTTGCAATTTTTAGGAAGGACCTTTTGTTAATAGGGCGATACCAGCAGTCATTGTTTTCAGTTGCTCCCACTTTTTGCTTTTTAATTATAATCTTTTTAGCTAAGTTTACCATTTTAAAATATAGTTTGTTGTGGGCTATTGTACAGGCTATTTTGTTGGTCAATCAGGAATTTATAAGCGACTGAGAATTAGATTAGAGATTTTGTTTGAATGAGGATATGGACAAGACTTGCTGATGGATTGAATGTGAGCTGTTGGTATAGCAGAGGTAATATTAATCCCAAACATGCCAATGTATTTATACTTTCTGATATCTGATAAATTCCTTTTCTGTAGCTATGAAGTCTTTTGCACCATCTAAATGGGCTATTATAATAAATTTCCATTAGCTCCTGGTCTACCCATCTATACCCTGTATAGATGAGAAACTAGGACATAATTTGAAAGGGCTCAGCTCATGCCACATATCATTGTCCTTGCAGAGTGGGACTCAAAATCCCTGAGGTTGGCAAACTCTCTGCACTTTAATTCAACCCTGCAAGCATTTCTCAAGTGTCCTTTTTGTGTCAGGCAATATGCCAGTCACTAAGAATGAAGAGATAAATAAAGCACAGCCCTTAAAATTAATCCAGTAAAGAGGGACAACATAAACAAGTGAATAAAAACTTATCACAAATGTTCTCCTTTTATTGGTTCCTTTTAGTTATTCATGACAGTAGAATCGATTTTGACATAATTATAAAGGCACAGAGTATATCTTATTCTAATTCAGTCCCCAGTACCTGTCCTTCCCTTTCCCTCCCCCCACCCTCGCTCTGTTTCTTCTATTGATCTTCCTGCCAATCGCAAATGTTCTTCATGGTGTTATGGGGGAAATGGTGGGGAAAGGACTTCATCTGGTTTGGAAAGAAAGAGTCAGAGAAAATTTAACGGAAACCAGAATGTTCGAAGGGAGTCTTGAAACAGACAAAGTTTTCATGTGGTAAAGACAAGAAGAAAAATAATCTGCCATTGAAGAAACTGGCTTACCCATATTTCTTCATCACTATAATGATTTCCATATCTAAATGAACTTACTTATTTCACCCACCATGTTATTAAAAAATAAGATTCCATGACAGCAGAAGAATATATTATGCTATATCTGTGTCAGAACTTGACTTGATGGTGGAGGGGCAAAGAAAAAGCAGAGATTAACTTCAACACATGACCATCCTCCAAGTGTATTATGAAAACTATGATGGCAAAGAGTACTCTATGGTTCCCCTCATATGCAGATTTCATATGACTCTATCAATGGTCTTCTTTCATCTACCTATAAAAAGAATCTAATAGGTTCTGAGGCAGTCCCTATTCTAAAACACCTATCTGCTAAACATTAACATTGTAGTCTTTCTCCTTGACTTTCTACTTTGGGTCAAACTTGCAGAAAAAAAAAATCAGTTTGAAAATCAAAAAAAAAATGACCTTTATCTTCAGTGTACATTATTGTGTACAGTTTGACGAAACGAAAATGATAGATTGATTTTTCAGGAATTATTGAATTGAGAATTCTCTAATATTTTCAAATTCTACAGTTTGGCTTTCATACCAGAGGATATGAGTTTTTCGAAAATATGTGTGTTGCCAGGCACTGTGGCGCATGCCCGTAATTCCAGAGACTAGAGAGGCTGAGGCAGGAGGATTGCAAGTAAAAAGCCAGCCTCAGCAAAAAGTGATGTGCTAAGCAACTCAGTGAGTCCTTGTCTCTAAGTAAAATACAAAATAGGGCCGGGATGTGGCTCAGTGGTGGAGTGTCCCTGAATTTAGTCCTTGGTACCAAAAAAAGAAAAAAGAATGTGTGTGTGTTCAGGTATGTAAACACAATAAATACAATAGTTGCTATAAATTTAACACCTACTATGTGCTAGGTACCATTCATATGAAGAAACTAGCTTTTTGGGGGGACAGGGGGGTTAGTATCTTTGGGGATCTTCATTGTTTCATTTAAAAAAACCAATAGAAATTCAAGGTTTTCTTTATTAATTCTGTACAAAGGCATTTACAAAAAATGAAATTAGAATGGATTGGACTATTATTACCAAAGGTCATTGTTCCTATCTAGAATTTTGTGTGTGTGTGTGTGTAGAACTACAGAGTTACGAAGAAAATGAGACTATCAAAAGACAGAGAGACTTAATGTTTTCATTCATTCAAAAAGATTTTTTTATTAACTCCCTATAATGTTTCTTGCCCTTTCAAGTGCTTGGAGTATAGCAGTGAATGAGCTAAAGCTCACCATCAGTGTTGAAGGCTCACATCTATTAAAGCCCAACTATGGGAACAAAGTAGGGGAATGCACCAGAGAAAAACACTATGGGATAGTATGCATGGACAGCTAAAGTGGCTTGGGTGAATCCATAGGGTGATCAAATTGTCCTGTTTGCTAGGGATTTGCCCAGTTCTACCACTGAAAGTCCCATATCCCAGGAGCCCCCTTCATTCTGGACAAGCAAAATGGTTGGTCACACTATGCACATAACAAAATGACAACACATATTTATTAAAGGCCCATTATGAGCAAGGGCCATAGATAAACATTGTGGTCTCCACACTAAGGGACCATGAGCTCCAGAGGAAGTGATGAGACACACGTTCAGGAAAAGATAACCGCTCATTCAGGCCAAACAATACATTCAGAGCACGCTCCCAGGTGGTGTTTGTACTGAGAAGGAGGAGATGGGATTTAAGCTGGACCTGGAGGACCAGGCATAATGACAAAAGTAGAGGAAAAGGAAAGAGGTAAAGGAAAGAGCACTAGCCCACTGTTTACTGCACAACTCTTAAACTCAACAAGTTCAACTTATTATGTCCACCCCTTCCTGTTCCTTTTGTCTCACTGTGTGGCGTCACTATCCATCTGTGGAGGAGAGAAACAACATGAAGCCATGGAAATGGAAAGTACTGATACATAGAGGGGAGGTTATAAGATGTGTTGATTCAAAAGGAAGTTCCTGGAGAGAGTGATGGGACAGAGAACCGGAAAAGATACATTCATGTACGTACTCAGCAAACATTCAGTGCCTATTATTGGCTATGTTTTGGTCTAGGATCTAACTATGGAAAGAAAAAAAAATACTGTTTCCTCTCTTAGAGAGTCTGTAGGGGGAAGCAAGCAAAAAAAAAAAAAAAAACACTATAGAGAGCATACTAAATACTAAAGACTGAAGGAGGATGAATGAGGAATCTGTATCTCCTGGGTGGGAAGCAAGAGAGTCTTCTAGAGAGAACCTCTCTAGATTTGAGAATTGAAGAAGCAGAAGGAGTTTGTTGGAAGAACAAAGAAAGGGTAAATCATTCAAGCAGTGTGGACAGAATACTTCAGGACCCTGAGAGAAGGGGGCACATCGGGAAGCTAAAAGGAGCTGGTCTGGACTTTCTGCAGTGGGCAGAAGGTAAGTCTTAAGAAAGGGCAGAGTGGAAAGGGCTGTGTGGGCAGCTTTTAGACTTTATCCTCAAGTCAGTGGGGATATACTTAAGGGTTTTAAGTAAGAGAGTGGCACGATCAAATTTGCAGTCTAGAAATATGACACTGTTGGCAGTGGGGAGGATGAACTGATTACAGAAGGGAGACCAGTAGGACAGAAGAAGACTAATGAGGCATTGTAGGGAGCTACTCTGAATGATTCACGTCTCCCGCCCTGGAGTAGAGAGGCTTTTGACTGTCACTACTTCTCGTAGTGACCTAGACATTGCTGCGGTCCAGAAGTTTGAGGATGCGTCTTCAGATGTAGGCGATGGATTGGGCTACATTCACCTATTCCTTTGTAATCCTACCCCTTTGCCCTGTTTGGGATACAATGTTCCATAGAAACGTCCTTTGTGTGTCCCTTCTCTTGCTGTGCTTTTGGGTGTGGCCTTCCTAGATGTCAGTCAACCTGCTGACAGCAGACATCACTAAGCTAGACTCAACTCCCTGAAAGCTGACCCCTTGCCTCATTTGAATGACTTCACCTCAATAAAAGGGTTCAGCACGTGCTCACTCTCTTTCTGCGGACCCTTAAGGTCACAGGACCCCAAAGAAAAAGATATCTCTGTTTCTTGTGTCGTTATTTTGTGCAGCCCAGTTCTCCTGGAGTGATCCTGAGTGTTTTAGTTGTGAGCGACAAGGTGAGATGCAGGGATCAGACTCAGGAGATGCTGTGGATAAAGTGACTTGGTGTTTATTGGGTGAGTGTGAGGTGAGGGACAGAGAGGAGGGAAGGATAACTCCCAGGCATCTGGATTGAGTGACTGGTGAGACAGAAAGTGAACACTTTTAAGTTTGGGAGACAAGCAGTGGGCAGTTGGATAGTGCAATCTGGCAGGAAAGAGATCTGAACTGGAAGGAGAGAGTTGGTCATCATCAGGATGTAGATAGTAATGCAATTCTAAGAATGCAATGATTCTTCCGGGCAGAGTGTGTAGAATGAGAGTAAGAGGGGGTGAAAAAACTCCCAAGATATCCATATATGAAGAAGCAGCAGAGTACAAGGTAATATCAGATATGGAGTGTCAACAAGTTTGGACCTAGTCCAGAGGTCAGTGGAGAGATGATGAGGAATGTTTGAATGGGAGATGTTGGGTGGGGGAAGTGGGGGATTGGTTGAAGATGATTACAAGTATCCAGGTGGCAAGGACCTGAATGGTGCTAAGCAATGAGTTCAGTAGCACACAGAAAGCTTTTTCATGCTTTACATCCCTATCTCTTCAAGCAACGTAAGAATCTTATGATAAGCCTGTAATCAGTGGTGCATGCCTCCAATCCCAGTGGCATAGGAGGATGGAAGGTTCAAAGCCAGCCTCAGCAACTTAATGAGGAACTAAGAAACTTAGCGAAAACCTGTCTCAAAAAAAAATTTTTTTTTAAAAGGGGGTATAGGTGTGGCTCAGTGGTTAAGGGGCTCTGGGTTCAATCCCTGGTACAAAGAAGAAGGAGAAGGATCTTTGGTGGTAGAAGCAAAAAGTATATTTTTAAAAATTCTCCTAATCCTACCCTATTCCTCATTCCTTGGTGATGAGTGTGTTACAGTTTGGACATGAGGTGTCCTCCAAAAGTTCCTATGTTAATGCAAGAATATTTAGAAGTGAAATAATTAGATTATGAGCACTGTAACCTAAGCAGTCTATCTAGTTTGAATAGACTAACTGGGTGGTAACTGTAGAGAGGCAGGGCATAGCTAAAGGAAATGGTCACTGGGGGTGTTCCCTGGAAGGGTTCATCTTCCCTGGGGCCTTTTACTCCTTTTCTCTCTGCTTCCTGGCTGCCATGAGGTGAGAAGCACTCCTCTACCATGCCCTTCTTCTATGACATTCTGTCTCATTGAATAGGTAAGGTAGTCAGATAATAAGACATAGGCAGACAGTTAGGGTAGTGAGCCCCAAAGAGGCTTCTCTAAGTATATGGGAAGTACCACCTACTTCCCTGGCAACCTCCCTTTGACTCAGAGAGGCAAGAAAAGGGGAAGGCAAGATGAACCGATAATGTTGAACTCAACAGCATTTGATCACTCACTTAAAGGGACCAACCAATTAGAATGTTGCAGTCCCAACCAATAAACAGGTCATCTTCCAGATACCTAATTGTCATAAAAGTTAGGCAACATTCCAAAACTGTTGGTCCAATAGATTTAACATTTTTTGATACATTATCAACATAAATATTGAACAATGCCTCCTACCCAGTGGCCATATAAGCCCCTAGACTAGTACACTCGAAAGACAACCCTCTATGGAGATCCCTCTCATTCCATGAGAGCTCTGTTTCTTTTCTTCTTGCTTGAATAAATCTTACCCTTTCTCACTTGCCCTTCATTGTCTGTGAATTTCATTAGAGTTCATGAGACAAGAATCTGAGAAGGAATCACTTGTGGTCTGCGACTGAATGGTAACCCCAGAAGGTGTTGCCTGTTGTGGCACTAAAAGAGCTGTAGCACAAACAGACCCTGCCTTCCCTGATGGTAACAGCACAAAATCTGATTTCATCACCTTGGGCCCAAAGAAATAGAGTCAACCCACCATGGACTACACCTCTGAAACCATCAGCCAAAATGAACGTTTTCTCCTCTAGGTTACCCTTATCAGGTATTTTTGTCACAGCAAAGAAAAGTTGACTAACACAAATCTTTAAACTAGAATTGACCTTGGGAATAGATGTGATGAGTTCTTAACAAAGAAAAGCTAGAACTGTTTGATTAAAAATAGAGTCGGTGGGCTGGGGGCAGGGGTGGCATATCAAAGGGAAGAATTGCAGGTGATGCCAAGAATTTAACTGGGTGATCAAATGAATTTGGAACCCTTAACTAAAGTCCAGAAATGGAGCCAGTTTTCTTTTGTGAGAGGAATGTCCAAGGAAGGAAGGAAAAGGGAAGCAAAGATGAATCCAAGGTTAAACAAGTTGAGTTAGTAGAGTTTTGTTTTGTTTTAGGTTGTTGAAGCTGGATCTTTATTTTTAAAAAGAGGTGATGACATGTTGTGTATTAATTTGGGGAAAGAAGAAGACTATGTTGAGCAAAAAAGGAAATTATACAAACAATACAAGCTTCTTTTTCCTCTTCAAGGGAAAAAAAAATAAGGCGGAAACAAATGAGCAAAAGATGTGCAGCACATCATGTGCTTCAGGGTTTTCTCTAGTGCCAAGGAGTCAGTAGGACTACACAGGAAAAGAACCCCAGAGCCTAGAATAGTTCCTTGTATCTCCTGTAGCTGTGAGCCAAAGACCAGGAACAAGGTGGCCCTCACTATTCACAAATAGGGCTGAGTGACCATTTTGGCTATACTGTATGTGCACACACACACACACACACTCTTACACACCCTCTCTATCACTTACCTACCTTGTATTGTTAATTCCTAATCACCTTCCACACAAAACTATAACAAATCTTTTCATGATATCTTTACAGAGGAAGCAAACATCTATCTTCCTACCAACTAAGTACTTCCTCCCTGTTTCAAGCAAAGACTATGTGAGGTTTCCAGAATTTCCAGAAGAAAGTGAGAGAACAGCCACATAGGGGAAGAGCATGAGCAAGGTCACTGAGACAGAAGTATACATGATTATTTGGAGAACTGCAAATTGTCTCATTTGGCTGGGGTATGGAAGAATAGTAGGCAATAAAGTTAGGAGCACAGGTTGGGGGCCTAGATAAAAGGTTTGTATGCCAACATGAGAACCTTGTACTCAATTCTTTTGGGCAGAAGGGAGCTATTGAAGACTTTGGGTCAGGGTAGTAACTGATTAGACCTGGATCTAAGAGGCTTACTCTCACAGCTGTTAATGGAAAGAATGAAGAGGAGAGAGGCTACAAGCAGAAAGAAATTTTGGACACGTTGGGCTTAACATGTCTCTGGACACTCCAAATAAAAGTGTTCATTAAAACTTCAGGAGGAAGATATGGTTAAGGTGTTTGTAGCCTGTTTCTCCATCTATAAAACAGGGACAAGAATGCTTACTTTGAGGATTGTTTGGGGGAATCAGAAAGAATTCTTATAAGCAGTTATCACAGTGCCTCACTCCCAATGAGCATGTGAGAGAGATTTAGTGATGGTGGTTGTGGCAGTAATTACCAGAGATAGTTGAAAGTTCTTCCCTGTAGCCCTTTTGTTCTCCCCAGAATTCTGCCATGAGTTCAGGAAACAAAACCATGCAACAAACCCCTGCTGTAGCTAGAATTGCCCTTCTACTAAGATAACCAAGCCTGTATTTTAGGACACACAGTTACACTGGCTCCTTTCCCCCTAAGGTAACCATTCTCCTGGAGAACCTGTAGCCCCTGCTCAATAGAGCTCTATTGAATGTCTCTTTGTTTTCTCTTCTGTGTCCAGACACAGCAGCTCAGATAAGTTATAACCTGGGATGGATACATGAATGGAGCTAAAAACATGTAAAATGCTATTCATTGTTTAGGGATATATGGAGAATATAAATATTTGTTAAAAAAATATACACACAAAAATTTATATACCCATGTTCTTACACACACACACACACACATACACACCATGTGCTCGTGCGCACGCACATGCACACATACACACACTAAATGAACATTTAAAGCGCTGAATTCAGGAAACTGGCTACTTCCTAAAAGAAGGGTAGAAAGGGGAATACAAATAAAAGAGATATCTAGAGGATTTCAACTATATCTGCAATGCTTTATATCTTGTTTAGCCGGATCTTAGATGGGTAGGTTTGTATTATATTATTCTCTACATAGCTTCCATATAGGAAGTAATTTACTTAAATAAGTATATAGAGTGAAGAAGGTACAATCTCTATTTTTAGAAATGGTGAGCTTGAGCTGAAATTTGGGCTTTCACGAAAAGGGAAACCAGTGTGGAGAAAGTCCTTTGCAGCCTGCATTTGATCCAGCCAGTGGACAGACTGCCAGCTTTCATGCACCAGAGTAGGGATTTCCCCCAGAAGAGCTGGGTAGTGGAAGAGAGAGATCCTCAAGCACTTCCCTAGAGGACACCCTTCACAGAAAAAGTGACACTGAAGTAGCATCAGCAGAGAAAAAAGCTAGTGGAACAGATGTGTTGCTGAAAGAAAAACATGGGAAATGCAATTCCTTAGATTCCTGGGGGAGAAAGAAGCACAGATGATGAAGTAATTGCCTGTGAGTGTCTGCAGTCAAGAAAATTTAAAAGTGAAGACAGTTTGACTTGTCCAGAGAAATATTTGTATCGACTTGAGCAAGAACAAATTTAGCAGTACAAAAAGCTATGAAGAAACTTCCACTTCCAGACATGAACATTGACTGGAACAAGATTTGCCCTCTCACCAGTAAACAACTAGGAAATTGGGTAAAATGTACCAAACCATTGTTTTCATTGGACAACACACAGTGCAGGATTGTGATCCCTGAAAGAAGAGAAGCAAATGAAGTGATCCCTACAATATTCCTGGCTCTCTGCCTGGAGGCACTTTCCAGACCATAAGGAAGGGAATCCAAGTAGACAACAACAGTCTTGCTAAGTTGAGAAGGAAAATATCAGAGTTTGGGAAACTGGGGTAGCTGAAATTTGTGAGGCAGGGTCCCCCAAAAAGGAGGTATTCAGAGAAAGAGCTCCAAAAATCTGAGTCTCCATGAATCTTAGGCTAAATACTAAGATCAGTGAGCTTCATCAGGTACATATCCATAAGAATGGGCAAAGAAAACTCTGAGGAAACTGCAAGCTAAACCATTTTCTGAGCTCCGCAGGATTGGGAAGCACTCAAGTTCTAATCAGGCTGCATGGAGAGACCTGATGAACCCTTGTGGCATTCAGAAGAGACCCTGCCCTGGATTTGATCCCCAGCAGCACTTAAAAAAAATCCATCAATAGAAACAGACCCCCCACATAATAGCAATTATGCAATGAAGTGGCAAGAATTATAATAATGCTATTATAAATATGCTCAATGTAAAGGAAAATATACAAGTAATGAAGAATAAATAAATAAGAAACTATAAAAATGGCATATCTAGAATTGAGAAGTACAATATCTGAAATGAAAAATTCACTGAGTAAACTTAACAGCAGCTTGAACAATGAAAAAGAAAAGATCAGTGGACTTGAAAATATAGCAACAGACACTAGCCATATTATGAAGAGGAGAAAGACTGGAAAAAACAAATTAACAGGTTCTCAGTGACACCCATTTTTAGTATAATTAAAATCCAAAAGAAGGGTGGGGAGAGCAGAAGAAATAATGGCAAAACATTTTCTAAACTTGATGAAAATGATAAACTCATAATTTTGAGAAATCCCACAAACCTCACATAGGATAAAAACTGAGATAGAAAGTGCATTCTGAATTTTTTTCAATATTAGAGTGATTTTATGAATGGACTGTACCTAAAGGTTATAGTCCAGGCTGGGTGCGGTGGTACAGGCCTGTAATCCCAGTCAGGAGGCTGGGGGAAGAGGATCATGAGTTCAAAACCAGCCTCAGCAACATAGCAAGGCCCTAAGCAATTCAGTGATCCTGTATTTCTAATTAAATATAAAAAAGGACTGGAGATGTGGCTCAGTGATTGAGAGCCCCTGGGTTCAATTTCCAGTACTAAAAAAAAAAAAATGATAGCCCAGGAAGACAAGGGAAAGTTCTGTAAAATGCAGGGAACTGTACATCTTGTGGTGTAGAAAAGTAGAAGGCAGCTTTGGGGAAACAAAACGGGAAAGATAATAAAGGAGAAGAGGTGGACCACGTAGAGGAACCCACTACTGGAAGGTATAAATTACATAATAAGTAGAGAAACTCATGGGAATAAAAGGGTGGAGTGGCATCTCCAGTTTTTATCCTTTCCCTTTGTCCTCTTGTCCCCATACTTCATTTTGAACAACAGACATCTCACAATTGACCTTGAAGCTTCGATCTTTTTCTTATACAACCTATCCTGCAGTTCACTGACAGCATAGTGAGCTTTCTCAACCAGAAGAATCACATCTGTCAAACATCTTTAGAGAGATTGATACCCTCAGAAGCCCCTACATAAGGTGGCCACAGAGGTAGACAGACCATACCTCTCCACTATTAAGTGTATCAGTTTGGCCCATGGCTTCTCCAAGCTTCCTATCTTTAGAGCTTTGTGCTATTCCCAGCTTTATTTTTCTTCTATTTAAACCAAGATCTCTTTCTGTCTCTGAATCACAACCTCCAGAGTTGGTTTATGCTTCATTTGCATCCTTTTGCTACTAAGTACACCCATGCCTGTCCTCTCTACCTCTTACTTGCCTGGAGTTCTGCTTTGTTACTTATGTTGGCTCTGAACCCCCATTTATAGACCTTGAACTTGGGAGGCCACAAGAATGTCTCCCTGTAGCCAGAGAGAGCTCCTTCCTTGAGAAGCAATGAGGCATTGAGGAAGGCATGTTGGACTTAGAATTAGGCCTGAATCACAGCTGTGATTCTGCTATAGACAGTCTAGGACTATGCTGTTCCATACTGTAGCCACTAACAAAATGTGACTGATGACCATATGAAATGTGTGGTTGAAGAACGGAATTTTAAATTTTAACTAAATGTAATTAATCTTAATTTTGATTTAGCACATGCAATACTGTAAGTCATTTTTCCATTAAACATTGTAGAAAATATTGCTATATTGTAATGCATGTGTTGGGTACATGCATAATTTCTAGTATACACAAAAGCAAACTTCTAGTTGACATTAGTAGATTGATTGAATGATTTTTTTATACATCAATTTAACATTGTTTATTTGAATATTTTATGCAGACAAGGCAAGTTATAGTGATATCTACGAAAGTCGAAACTTGGAAATACTTATTTTAATTTTAAATGATATAATAAATTATATTCTAGCTTTAAATATAAGTATGGAAAAAATTTAATACTTAAATGAAATTCTACTACTACAAAATTGAGTAGAGGTACAGAAACTATGAAGTAGTAAGATAGGAACAGTGGAGACAAGACACTGAAAGAGAACAAGTCACAAATTACACAATGAATGCTGCTATGATTTGAATGTCCCCTACACAATCATGTTAAAATTTAATTGCTACTGTCATAGTGGGAGATGGGACTCTTAACATTATCACAGGAGTGGGTTAATTATCCTGGGAGTGCCTTTATATAAAAGTAAGCATTCTCTCTCTCTCTCTCTCTTAGCTTGCTCTCTCTCTTTTCTCCTCCTCCTCCTCCTCCTCCTCCTCCTCCTCCTCCTCCTCCTCCTCCTCCTCCTTCTTCTTCTTCTTCATTTTGGTCAGTAAGAAGAATCCTGGGAGTGCCTTTATATAAAAGTAAGCATTCTCTCTCTCTCTCTCTCTCTCTCTCTCTCTCTTAGCTTGCTCTCTCTCTTTTCTCCTCCTCCTCCTCCTCCTCCTCCTCCTCCTCCTCCTCCTCCTCCTCCTCCTCCTCCTCCTCCTCCTCCTTCTTCTTCTTCTTCTTGTCATTTTGGTCAGTAAGAAGAATCAGGAGCAATCGGGTGTTGCAAGTCCTGACCATACAAACTCATTGATCACATACCATACAAACTCCAATCATCATTTTCTATTCTGCCTTCCAAAAGTAGACACAGGTAAGGATTATGTAAGCTGACAATGCTGCTGCTCTCTTATTCCCAACTTTTCTCTGCTTGCTTGTGGGCTTCTTCACCTTGTGATGCTTTCTGCTAAGTTATGACACAATGTGAGGGCCCCTAACAGATGCCAGCGTCATGCTTTTAGCCTTCTCAGTCTTCAAAACTGTGAGAAATAAATTTCTTTTCTTTATAAATTACCTAGTCTGTGGTATTCTGTTATAGCAGCAGAAAACAGACTTAGACAGATGGCAGTTGCAATTTGCTGCAGCAAAGCAAAATGAAGAAGAAGCTGTTTTATAAAAATCTTTTAAAGATAAAGTAGACAACAGCAGGAGACATTTCCAACAAACACAGTGAATTTAATGTTTCTTCCTAACAGCTAAAACAGAATCAATATTTGTTGCCTGAAATTAGTATTAGATGTCCAACAAATATTTTAAACAATTTTTAGCAGGGTCTGAGCTTATAATGTTGGCCAATTATAAGATGACTTGGATTCTTGTACAAAAAGAGAACCATTTTTAGATGGAGAGGTAGTCAAAGAAATTACTATTTTAGTTATGGAAATTTTGTTGGAAAAAGTATGAGAAAAAGCTTGTAAGATATTTTACAAATAGTGAAACCTTGGTACAGCCAATATGGAAAACAGTTTGGAGGTTTCTCAAAGAATTAAAAGTAGAAAAACTACCATATGGTCCAGCAATCCCACTTCTGGGTATATATCCAAAGGAAATGAAATCACTATCTTGAAGAGATATCTGGACTCTGTTCATTGCAACATCATTCACAGAAGCAAGATATTAAAATAGCCTAAATGCCTATTGGTAAATGAGTGAATAAAGAAAATTATGTGTATATAAAATATATAATTTTATATATTTAAATATTTAAGTATATATAAAATATTTAATTTTCAAAATTATACATAAATCATGTATATTTTATATATGTAATTTTCTATATCCAACCTTAAATAAGGAAATTCTGCCATTTGCTACAACATGGATAAACTTGGAGGACATTATACTAAGTGAAATAAACCAGATATACAAAGACGAATACTGCATTATCTCAATTATACGTAAAATCTAAAGAAGTTGAACTCATAATGAAACAGAGTAGAATGGTGGTTACTAGGGAAATGGGAAGATGTTGGTCAAAGGGCACAGATTTTCACTTATAAGATGATTAAATTCTGGAGATCTAATGTATAGCATGGTGACTATAGTTCATAATGATGTACACTAGAAGTTTCCTAACAGTGGAACTTAAGTGTTCTCACCACATACACAAAATAAGGATCACTAAGTGAAGTGCTGGTGTGTTAATTAGCTTTATTTGGTAATCATTTCACAATGTTTATCAATAACTCATATAGAACATCTGAAATTTTTAAAGTATTTTTTTACTTGACACGTAATTTTTAATTGTCAATCATACTTTAATAAAGCTGGAGGAGGAAAAAAAGCCCTAAAAACTCTTCAATTATGCAAACAAATAATTGTTCATTGAATACAAAATTTTTTGTATTTCTAACAATATAAAACAATTTCTAACAATGTCAAATTTTTTTGTATTTCTAACAATATCAAACTTCAACTGATTCAAATTTTGAAAGATTGCAAGGATTTTCTTCAACTTTAGAGGAGTCATGAGATATAAGAGACACCACCCAATTAATACTTCGAATATGTCTTGTCTCAAAGGACTTTCAAACTTAAAAATTTTTTTTTGTTGTGTTGCAGCCTAAAGATTGAATTCAATGTTATAAATATTTTCGTCTTTCACACATGCCAAAGAAAATTTTCAGCCAAATAAGAAAAACATAGCTCCCATCATAATCAAGAGTTCTCTAGCTATGTTAAATCAAAAATCTGGATTTATTGTATTTTTAAAGCAAGAAGCTGATCTTTTGTCTATTGATTTGTCTCTTTTAAGTGATACATCTTAAAGATATTTAAATGTGTTCATCTTTCTAAACAGTTTCATGAATATTGTTAAAATTGTTTTATATGTGTGAAAATGTTATGAATCATCTCGTTGTAGAAAGAAATAGAAGAAAATGAATCCAATGACCTTGTGCTCTTTACCAATGCTCATTAGTTGAGTAGTGAAGGATTTTTTTAAAAAACTATTATATTGTTAATTTTTACTTAAGATTATCTTGAAACAAAAGGAAGACTTAACCAAATAATCAATAATCGAAGACAGCAGTGTGATTTATGTTTTCTCACTGATATCATGACACTGCATATGAATGAACTAAATTTGAAGCTCCAAGGCAAAGAAAAGTTTATCTGTGACCTAGCTTGACAGGTACAAGACTTTATGTTGAAATTGAAATTTTTTATAATATAATCAATAGCAACCTTACACATTCACCTAACATGAATTAATATGCAGATTTTCATTGTAATAAAAATGTTATGCAAATTAGTATCAAAGATTTAAAAAATTTAGAACACCTTATAATACTGGTGAATTTATGGTTGCTTTTCAATTTTGTAGTACCCTTTGAATTCAATGGGTGTTTTTTTGTTTGTTTGTTTTGTTTTTTGTGGTAATGGGGATTGAACCTAGGGTGCTCTACCATTGAACTATGTCCCTATCCCTTTTTATTCTTATTATGAGACAAGAGCTCCCTAAGTTGCCCAGGCCCACCTCAAACTTATGATCTTCCTGCCTCAGCCTCCTGAATTGCTAGTATTGCAGGAGTGCACTACTATGCCCAGCTAAAGACAATGTTAATAATACTGAGTTGGCCAAGTGCAGTGGTGCCTGCCCATGATCTCAACTACTCAAGAGGCTGTAGCAGGAGAAATGCAAGTTTAAGGTCAGCCTGGGCAACTAAGTTAGACCCTGTCTTAAAATTAAAAATTTTAAAAAGGGCTGGGAATGTAACTCAGTGTTAAAGTACTTCCCTAGTATGCATGGGGCCCTGGGTTTAATTCACAGGATTTTAACAAAATAACAATAAAAATAAATTACTGAGTTGACACAAAAATTAATGAATTCCTTAAGAGACACAATTTTGAAACTGATGGGGTTTTACTTCAAAGACATTTCTAAAATAAATAGTTTTCACAGTATGGATGCAAATATTAAAAGAGAAGAAAATTATTTTTGGTACTCAACTCAGTTTTTAGAAAACTGTTAAGTATGTTGGGAATAAATTGGGCATGTGAATCTATTTTTTCAACTAAATATTATGTGAAATATAAATACAGTACAAGTATTTCTGATGCAGATTTAGTATTTGAATTAAAATGTGCTGCTAGTTTAAAAATATACACTGGATTTAGATGATTTCACATAAAAAAGAATATAAAATATATCACTAATAATTGTATTCCCTACAAGTTGAAATGATAATATTTGGGGATGTTGGCTAAATAAAATGTAACATTAAAACAAAATTTACCTGTTTGTTTTTACTTTTTAATGTGGCTACTAGAACATTTAAAACTATGTGGGTTGCTCACATTATATTTCTATTGGCAGCTTTGCTCTAGAGTTGGGGCTTCAGAGGCTGGGCTCTGAAACCAGGCAGCCTAAATTATTCATGAGTCTGGTCTCTGACAAGCGTTAGTTATACACATTAGGCAAATTTTTAAATGTCTTTATACTTAGTTTTTTTCCCATCTAAAAAAGGGGATAACAATTGTTCTTACTTCGTCTGGTTGTTTTAAGCATACTTAAAAAGTGTCTGGCACATAGTAATTACTGTGTGTAATTGCTATTATTATTATTACCATTATTATTAATGATGCGATCTTGAGAAGTTCCTTGCCATTAATTTACTCACGTGTAAAATGGTGATAACAACATCTATCTCACGAGATTATTCCTTGAGTTAAATTAGACTAGATATGCAAAATTGCTTATTGGAGGTAGGTGCCCACTGTACATTTGCTGCATGTTCTAGATTGTAACTGATGTTCAGAAGTCTCTGTGATCTGTCTCAGACACAAGTCAAATCCAATAGTATATATGGTGTGTGTGAAAGAAGTTGTAAATTATAAGTTGCTTTTAATTGCTAGACATTATTTTTACTGTTCTTCACTTGTGAAACTCTAGAGAGGATATGTTGCCTAAAGGTGTCTTGGAGCCTCCCTGCCTCCACTCTCTTACTATCTAGGCTGAAGGGCCATTTTTCTATGAGGCCCTCAGTGTGGACTCCAGCCCTAGTATAATCTCTCTCCCCATTAAATCCCTGAAACATTTCCTGCCCAATATATATATTTGGCATTTGGTCCCATGGCTACCTTGAATTGTTGTTTAATGGCATGGTGTTTTGTTCCCTTGGTCAGGTTAGGGTGACTGTTTTATAATTTGTGAATGCCCCAACAGCACCTGATAATTGCTTAAAAAAAAATATTTAGCTAACAAATGGAAACATTTGGAAAAACTAAGGGGAAAAAATTTGACCCGGCAGATCCTGGTATCCTCTGCAAAGAACAAAAAATGTCACTGGAAAGAGGAAATTTTACGTAAAAGTCTAAGATAAGCATAAAAGGACTGAACAGAGCTGATATGGAAATTGAGAAGAGCAGAGGTGTGGTCCAAGACAGAGGTCAGGGAGCCAAGTGGACACCCACCCTGCTGGACAGTCACAAAACTCAAACAGAGATCCTCTTTCCCATACACCCAATAACAACTATTTTGGCCACACTTAATTTTAGAAAATGATATAAGGTCTCAATCCAATCAGTTCATTTGCCAATCTGACAGCTTATTCCCAGAGTGTCTTCCTCCCGCCCTCGAAGTGGTCCCCTTACCCACATATTTAAAATGTTTGAAAATTCTTCCTCTACATGAAGTTTTTGGTGACCATTCAAAAGTGAGTGAAATTAGGCCCCCTTCTTTCCTGCCTGCTGGACTCATACATCTCCCCTAGACACTCTGTTAGGAGAAGATACCTTACCATCTGGGTCAACTGCAGATCCTACCAACCCCAAACACAATAGCTACTCCAAAACACTACTCCATGACAGCTGAATGAATTAATGTCACAAAGTTG